ACTAATCCTAGTATTAAAGAGTCCTTCCATAGCTGGGACTTTCACCCACAAGAGAAAAGCCTAACAAACACAAGGACTGGGAATGAAAGCCAGACAAATGTCCATTAGAATATGGTACAAATTTAACAGGGAGGGAAACTGGTATTCAAACAAACTACGAAGGGCAATAGTAGGTTTTCCAGCTCTTGACGCCTTCAAATCCAGACCAGACTCCTCCTGGAAGATAAGTTATGACCCCCACCTTCAGAGGAACTGGATGTAGCTCCTGCGCCGTTACCGTGGGACAGACTGGGTGCCTCTTGCCGTCAGCACCTGCGCCTTGCACAGGGCGCAACAGGAGCCACCTTGCACCTCCCAGTGCCCGTGGGACTGGGAGCGTGGCAGGCGCTTGGCATGCACAGGACACCAGCGGAGATACGCTCTCCCACAGCAACGCGTCCTCTGGCATAGTCACACCAGCCCGGGGAGCAGCAGCAGCTGCACTTCAGCTCGCAGGCTCAGCGCACAGTACTCACCTCCCACCGCTTTTACACCCCCAGCTTCAGTTAACCACTACTGCCAACTGAGCACAGCCAGCATTTGGCCATCAGCAATCAAAAATTTGAGAAGGAAGGAGGAAAAGTCTGTGGAAATCAGTGCTTGGACTACTGCTGTCTCTCCCTCACTCATGTCATCTTTCTGATGGAGGAAGGGCTGACTCACCCGTAGCACGTGCCCAGGCTGCCAAGCTCCCCGCCACCTGCCCCGCAGCCAGGGAACCAGCACGCAGGTTTCTTGCCATTGGAACGATACGGAGCTTTGACGCTCCTGAACGGAGCAAAGGGAAGGGATCTCGGCAGGGGAGCCTGAGCTCCCATGCCCATAATACCTTATTCTCCTTATTCCGCGTCTTTCCAGCGTTACTTCCACAAACTTATCCAAAGGTTTCGAGGGTGGCCCGCACTTGCCTCTCCCTGCTGGCTTTGTCACACTTCCTGCTCTCTGATACTCAGGCTGCCAGCATCTCTCCCCTGGCTGACTTGGCTTGTGTTATTTTGTGTTAGAACTGGTATGTTTTTTTAATGGCTATAAATAAGTTAAAGCTGCATCTTTAATTAATCACTGCACTTTATATTGTAAGTGGAGATTTTTTGTAATGACTCGTTTATGATTTTAGGATGCCATTTGCTCACTGTCAAACATATATAGCTTTTATCCCTGCATGTTTAACAGGTTCAGGACAGAAAGAGAACTTCATCAATGAAGAATTTTAATCCATTTAGTCTAGAGCAAATAACTGGTTACTAAGTAAGTGGGAAGAGATTGAATAGATACTTTTATCTAAGCAACAATAAACTGCAAGCAATAGACAGTATGTTCCTAATCTTAAAAACGTTTTAAACTAATCTTAAAATGTTTATTTTTTTCAGTGACACAGGTTTGAAAATTGGAAATGCGTATGTCTGGAAGACTAAAACATGAACAACAACATACAGCAGCAGCAGCACATAAAGTATAGAGGAGTAGAAGCATTAATAGAAATATTTCTGCTGTAGCAGCTATTAAATGATTTTTTTTAAGGTTTGGAAGAAAAGCCCAATTAAAATGTGCACGTGAGTGTGTCTTTCTCTGTATTTAGACACACATACACGGTGCATGTATAAAATTGTCTGTCAGCAAAGTGAGGGCTGCTACTCCTTTTGTTTCTTGCCCCATTGGCAAGCAGAAAAGAGCACCTAACCCAGCACCGTCAGCATCTTCACTGCATCCCCCTGGGGCGCGGGAGCAGCTCCGAAGGCCGGTCCCTGCCCTCTGCTGCTCCCAAAGCCCCTAGCAGCGGTGGAACCCAAACCTGCCCTTCCTGCCTTGTGCGTCCAACAACAGTAGCTCACTAACGCCAGGCTGTAGATTTCCTGCATTACCTCTCGTCTCATACAAGGAGGCTACATCTCTGAAGGTTGGTGAGATTTGTCTGTACTGGCTTATTTTTCCTACAGCAGGAGAAAAGGGAACACAGGACCCAGTCAGAAGTAAGTGCAAATAAAGCAATTGTGCGTTCCAGCCAAACGACACACAACCAAATGCTGTTCTGCACAGCCTCCAAGTGCTGCAACATTCGCTGAACAGACAGACAGACACTTGTTTTTATTTGGTCTCAGATTAAATTCAAGTGACAAGCAGGTGGCTGGATATCAAAAGATGTGGTTGTTTTTCCCCCCCTCCCTTATTGTTTTTCTCAAGGGAGTGCATGGATGTTTCATATAGGATGTAAAAGAGCAATGGAAAAAAAAGCTATTGCATTGAAACTACAGGAAAATAATTATTTTAAAAATTGCTCTACCTCAGTTCCTAGACAATTCAAGTCTGGTGTGCAGTATATGATCTGTCTGCTAGGATTGAATCCAGGCACCACTTTTGTTAGCTTAAGAATTTTGAGCAATTTTTTCCATTTATCTGTATTCTCCCAAAAATCATTTCACACATTTCTAAGATGCATCAATCCTTCCGGCATTCCTCTAGACACTCAGTAGGATGCTCTGCTATAAATATTATAAAGCCTTTTATTATGTCCTTTAACCATGGACATGTGTGCTCCAAAAGTTTCCTGACACGCAGTTATTTGTGGCTTTTTAATTATAAACAGAAAATATCTACCAGCAAAGGAAGACAGCAGACTGGAAGCGGATCTTTATGTGTGTGTTTGGAGCATGTACTGCGACTGGCTGAACAGCACCCTCACCTCATCCCGAGAAATCCCTTAGGAGGCTCTATGTGCACGCACATGTACGTCAGAAGCCAGGGACGCAACAGCTCAGTCTTGGGTGACAGAAGTCTGTCAACTGCACCGACACCAATCAACTTACGCAACACCACCATCCTCATCGACTCTTTTTCAATATGCAAACGTGACCTCCCCGCTCCATTTTGTAGGCCTTGCTCCACTTGAACTCATCAGGAAAAAAATAAGGCCCAGTAAATTACTTGACAAATTAAGTCATATTTATTGAATGCGTTTTATTTCAACAACCAAAAAATTCTAACAGCCTAACAATGCACATAAGTTAAAAATTAATTATCACTTAGTGATAACAAAGATAAAGTTGATTTACATGGAAAAAAGAACATTTACAATATGTTAATCCTTATTCACATTGTTGATACCGCGATAAAACACAATTTGTTTTTTTTATTTTTTATTTCACAAAAAAGGCGGAAAATTGTGCTTTGTTAAGAGGCACTACAAGAAAAGTTTCTTTCTCCAAATAGATATTATATGATGGATATTGAATAAATAGACATATATGCATTGTAATTCGCAAAGTTCTGGCAAGACCACAGGCTAAAATGCCCACAGATTCACTTAGAACCACTGCAAAATTGGCAGTGAAATTAAAAATAAAAAGGCAAGACTCAGCATTGAAAAAATACCTAATAAAATTTTTGGTTGAAGTGTAAAAGATACCAAATGTTGATGCCATCATCAGATGAACAATCTTACAAGAGCTTGGCAAAATTCAGTTTCTTTTCAAATGTACGGAGTGATTTCAGCAACAGGATAAGAAGACAGTTTGGAAAGAGTAGCTCTGAGAGAAACATAAAGCAGCAACCATTGAAATTCTGATTAAAGCTGCAGCATACTACAGAAATAAAGGATGAAGAGCATAAGGGGCATAAGTAAGCAATCCACAATTATTTTGCAAAGGTATATGAAATTTATGCAGAGATACTCTTATGTTTCAAACATTAGTTCTGAAAAAATCCCTTAAAAACTCCAGAGGTTACTGAGCAGCTAGAATTAGCTTGTATTGCAACGTCTTCTCCCTGTATATTGTCTGTTCTGAGTAAATATCTACACATAGAGGTTTGTTTTTTGTTTTTAACTCCTACCTTTTATACCTTTCAAATATATAAATAGTATTAACAGTTATATTACATTGCCTGGTGTAGTAAACAGAAAATAACTTTCAAAGTGATATTGCATGAGGTCTTTGTCAAGGTTACATGAAAAGCCCATGTGGAAAAAAACAAAAGAAAGAAAAACAGAAACCTTATGACTGCAGTTTAAACAGGAGTCCGAATTCAATCCAGCTGCAATAGTAGCGAAGGTGAGGTCTTTTCTCGGAAATCATTGCACGGAAGTGAAAAGTAAATGCTACTTGGTGTCTCTTTTGACATGATGCCTCAAAACAGTTAGAAACTATAGTAGATTGCAGCTTTAGTGCTCATGCCATTGAAGAGTCAGTCAGCATTAGTTCTGCTTTATGTAACGTAGTCGCTACGCTAGGTCTCTGCAAAACCCTTCGGCAGCGAGGTGACCGCGTGCGCTGCCCCGACTCGCGCAGCCTGCAGCTGCGGGGCTGCCGAGGGCCTGAAAACGCCCGTGCCTGGGGCTGCCGTGCATGGGACGCGGGCCCAGCCGGAGACCGGTGGCTGAAAACACTTCATTCCACTGGCACAAAATGCATGACACAGAGGAAGCCCAGCTAGGACAGGAATAAAGGGGAGGTGGGAAAGAAGGGTGAGTGGGAAGTCAGCAATGCAAACCCTTCACCTGTCAGCAGTTTGCCCGGAGGGGATGGTTGGGAGTGTAGCAGTTTGTTTCCCGATGTAACTTTACATTTGCGTTTGTGTGTTTTTCACTTTAGTAAAAACAAAAAGCAACAAGAAGAAGGAAGCTTACAAGTTTTAAGATCTGAAACAGAGAACAGGTAAATAAAATCCACGGTAAAACATGGTTTATAGTATGAATTCCATACATCAACTCTCAACACGTTATTTTTCTTCTCTTTCTATTAAGACCTCAGTAACGGACAAGTCTTCTCTGCACTGAATTTCAGTTTCAGGTCACTCTGAATCCCATGAAAATTCATCTGTTCACTACAGAAAGGACAGTTTAGAGAAAGGAACATGCTGTAATCATTTTAAGTGTGCATTGTGTTTAAAGTACTTTAACTTACTAGTTTTCTTTTTAAGGTGCCCTGATTTGTTTTTCCATTTTCTCTCTTTTTTTTCCTCTTTTCTTTTTTTGGCAGTGTTGATTTACGTCTTTAAATACATACCTCAAAAATTACCCATCGAGTTGCCAGATAGGAAGCCATATAATAAAAAAAATCAGGGATAAACATAGAAAATAAATAGGAATTCAAAAATAGTCACCACACCCTGAGAGCAGGCGGCAGTTTATCAAAAAGCCAAAGCAACTCATTGTGAAGTGGTTTTAATACATAAACAAGTCTCATCTGTAAAGAACTCATTTCACAGTCTATACTTTCAGGTTGTAAAGTTCTGTCCCATGCAATTTTAATATATATATATTTTATGTAAATATATATATATACACACAAAATTGTAAATTTTCCTTCATTGATTTCATAGGACTTTTTCTTCCCATTTACTTGCTAGATGTCCCTTTCATAAGTGCAAGATTAATGAAGGCATAATCCTATGTGATTACAATGATTACTTCAGTCAAATGTAGGAAGTGTAACACTCAGTGTCTGTGTCAAGGCGATGTTTGATTGGGCAATGCTGAACTCATTCGGTTTGCACATGGATCATGCGCATCAGAAACAAACAAACAAAAAGTAAAAAGAGGAAAAATTAAAAATAAAAACAGAAAATCCTTGGATCAATGTATTGCTTTCTGCGTTCCTATCTCACATTATCTCTGGTCGATGTCCGCTGGGGCTGCCTTACTTTTGTCAGGGTTCTCCTCTTCAGGCTCCACTTTGTACATCTCCTCAGAGCCCTCCTCGCTGTCGTTCTCCTCTGACTCTGTCAGCAGCTCCTCATCCTTGTACTCTGCCACGTCAACCACTGTTCCCAAATGCTCTTTTAGCTTCCCGTGGTGCTTTACATGGTAACGCTGGTTCTGGAAGAATTTGATGATGGTGTGTTTGGGGAGATCCAGCTGAGCAGACAGGGTGTGAATGGCTTCCTGATCAGGGTAGAGACCTACATCGTGGATAAAGCTTTGAAGGATACCTAGAGCTTCCAAGGATATCTTGGTACGGGATCTTGGCTTTTTGGCACAAGTGTCCTCAGCAGGCGGAGGAGGAGCCTCTTCTCTGGGTGGTGAATTCTCCTTTGCAGGCTGGGACTGCTGTCTGTGCAGGACCTACAGGATTAAACAGACACATACTTCATGTAACACAGTGACCCTCGGGGAAAATAGCCCTCTTGATGCTCGAGATAAGAGGCAGCTGTGCAGGTCTCTACACAGGGTCTACTTCACTTTTGTGAAGTACTACTTAATATTCCTTTTCCGCTACCTTTCTTACCTATTGGACAGCTGTCCCAGTAACTACAGATTGACAGGGGGAAAAAATATAAAAGGCAAACAATAGAAAATAAATTTTAAAATACGCATTCAATAATAAATACAAAATACAGATGATAAAAAGAAATATCAAATAGCCGAAATCAAAAGTAAGTCAAAATGGGTTACAGTCTGGTGGTCATGACAAGCTGGCCAGTTGTCCCCTCTGGGACAAGTTATCTTCCTGCTTTCTTCCCCCTCTGTGTCTCCCCCCGTTTTTTTAGGCTAGAGACTCTCCCACTGTTCCTGCAAGGTGCCTAGTACCACGAAAGCCTAATCACATGCGGGACTGTGAAGTGCTACTTCATCACGAATAACGATTTGGCATTAAAATCCATCACAAATGCTTTATGGTCAAAAAAAAAAAAAAAAGTCGTCCAGAAATGCAACGAGTTTCCCTTCTGTGAACAGTAACACTGTAGTCAATTCAGTTGCTTAGCAGAACTGGCTTTAACTTATCTTTTGAACAGATTTCTTGGTATTACATCTGTATTAATGTCACTAGTTTAGCAGCTCTGAGTTCAAATAATTATATCCCTGCATTCTGAGAAAGCCTCTGGGCAAATAGAGTTTTCAGTCTTGTAACAGATTTTCACTGGCAATGTCTCCTTTTCAGCAAGTTTAAAGAAAGCATATGTAGCTCTTAATCTTCCTAACAGCCACTTAAAATGACTAAGAAAGGGCCTTGTGCAGCCCGCATCCCAGGGAAAAAAAAATACTTCCACTGCACTGTTAGAAATACAGAGGAGCTACATATGCTTTCTTTAAAATCAAATCTATACAAGAGAGATTATCAGCAAAAATCCCCCACAGGACTGAAGGCTGTATTTGCCCAGAGGTTTCTTCAGGTGCAGGGAAATAATTATTAGAACTCAAAGCTACAGAGCTAACAAAATCAATACGGATAAATATTTCCTTCTACAAGTAAGAGGAAATTCTAGCTCTTCACGCAAAGAAAAAAAACATCTTTGCTGCACACTGTAACATCAAGAAAATCTCTAACATCAAGAAACATTCAAACATTCAAACTCTCTAAATGGAAAAAACAAGAATAAATACTGGAAGTTTGCTGAGAGCTTGTACTGAATTTTACACACACGCAGAGCCCCCGGTGAAATCCTACGCTATCCAGGTTGCTAATGCAAGAGGGAAGTCGCAGTAGCACATCGCACTGTCAGTGCGTGCAAACAAATAAAAGGGCTCATGCTAAAGAACTTTGTATTCATTTCCTTCATGAAACGGCGCTATCCTTATAGTTCATATTGCTAGTGATCTATAGCAACAGTTTTTTAAAAGCAGCATGCAACTGCACAACAACAGCCCACTACTGAAGTTTTGCCAGGGAGCCGAACCCAGAAGAGACTCTGTGAAAATGACCCAACTCGCAAATTGAGAAACGGGTCACTGCTTGCTCTTGTGCCTGACAGCGGGAGCAGGCACACCGAAGTCAAAGGGGGACGGCACTTCAACGGGCTGCGCAGTGTCGGCAAAAGAGGCAGGGCATGGCGCCGACTCCAGGGGTTTCTACTCTCACCGCGCGTGCATCTGCGGGGGTGCCCGCGGGCCGAGATGAGCAACGGCACACCCGTGCACCTGCAACATGGACCTCCATGGCGGTGGACAGAGCTCAGCACGGGGTGGCCTCTCTGGTGCCGGCTTCCCCGCTGTCAAAGAGGAGGCGTGCTCATGCGGCCACCGGGCAGGCTAGCGTGAGCAGAAAGGGGAGGACGACAGCGCTCTGTGTCCTGACTACATCCGCCGCAAGAACGAGGAGGCAGCCCTGCGGCAGGGCCACGCTCCGTCACTTCAAAGCAGGCCTCCCCACCGGTGATGGGCTGGTCTGCACTGTCACGGCGAGAGCCGCTGGCAGGCAGTGGCATTGCAAACATGTTGCAGCGCCAATAGATTAATTTTCCTTCCAGGTATGTAAACAAACAGGGCGTCAAGGAGAAGGAGCTAGCACAGGAGTTGGGGGAAAGGAGGAAACTCACACAGGAATGACAGATACCTGTGCTACGACCCAACCCTTGCAGCAGAAGAGCACAATGTTCCAATGAACCGAGTAACTCAATTGCTCTTTGAAGATTTCTTTTTTTGTCCATGGACTGTCTTCAAAAAGAGGGATCGACATGTTCAGATAGAGTCTTTGTAAATGATGGGTCAGAGTGTCACCTACCTCAGCAGGGGGCATACAAACAAGCAGAGCCGAGGAGCTGGCCCAACAAATGGGTAACGCAGCCCATACCTACATATCCCCACTGTCATGCCCGCGGGTCCCGTCTCCTGACACCATAAGGCCCAGAACAACCAAAAAGAAAAGGATTTAACACCACAAATAAACTGCCAGGGAATTTACAGAAAGTGCCTCAAGTGGCGCTGCTGCTAATCAGAACGCTGAATCCAAGCAGCAGCTAACATAGATGGAAACACATCCTGAAAGGGTGCGAATTACTCAGTTCATTCCTGTTGGAGTTGGAAGTGACTTTGTTCCCTTTTCAGTTGACAAACAGCATGAGAAACGATCCAGCCTGAAAAAATGTTACAAGACTTCCAATCAAATATCATGATGAAAAAAAATCCAACAACACAGGATCAGCAGCAGTAAAATGTTTAATTTGAAGGAGATGAAGAGATGCCTACAGCATCTATAAAGCAATCAACCAAAGAGAGGGCTGAGAGCGTGAGGGAAAGAATAATTTTACTTAACCCTTCCTTTTCTGGAGTGACCTCTCCATCCTCTCTGGAAGAAAAAACACATAACCCCGGGATTATTAGTGTAAAATGTTAGAAAGAGGTTGTATTTTCTTTGACTTACTGTTTTCTCAGATAATACAAAAACCTAAAGCCACTGTTGCATAAACATAAAACTTGCAATTTAATTGACTTCTGGGGGCTGGCTCTGGATTTCTAATGGTGTTAACCATATTACCCATATATTACCCATATACATCCAGTATCACCCATAGACACAGACACAGATGTATAAGCATGCAGAACTTCCTCCAGATTTAGACTGTAATCAGCTTTCTATCTCCTGCTGATAATACAGGCTATTTAATAGAAAAAGTGTACTTTTCTATGGGGAACAGATCAACAGTTGAGGTTCATGATTCGATATGAAATATAAATTCACTTTTTGCTAAACGTTTGCTTTGAATGACATTTGTAAAAGACACTTGTTTATCTGGGCAATTCGATTAGTTCATACCTGGCTCTGCACACCATGTCCTAACAAAAGAAACTGTCCATTTTTGGCAGTTTCAGATTTTGGGGTCACTACTATCTTCCTAAATCTGCATGTAAGATTTCTAATGACTTCACACACTGATCTGCCCAGCGCACTACACGCTCTGTATTTTGGGTCAGTGCTGTTCTGCTTCCCTAATACAAAGACGCAATCCCTGCTTATTCTGCTCATGGTTAAAGTATAGGCCGTAGTACATCTTCCTGTGCAGGTAAACCCGGCCACGTTCAGCTTGCCTCTCCCAAAGAAAGCTGGCTGGGTGCCTAGAAGGGTGCACGCACGCTGCCTCCTTCGTGGCCGCCCACCTTGCCCTCCTGCAAGTCCTTCCCGGTCCGGCCCACAGACGCCTTCCCCGCAGCCCGCTCAGCTGCCCAGTCCCACTCGCCCATCCGCCCCGTGCCTCGAGACTCCCCGCAGCCTCGCACCCTCGTGCTGTTGCAGCCCTCAGCCCTCCACGGCCTGCCCCGCCGCTGCCCAGCCGTAGGAGGGACGGCCTCTTCTCCACATCAGCCACCATCTGGAGCTGACTTCCCCTTCTCTCCCTCCCTCCTCACCGATTCTCCATCTACTTTTGAGTCAAATGTGAAGATACAGATTTCCTTCCATGCCCACAGCACTTATTTCTTCCATTCCTTCAAGAGATTTCATTTTTAAACTCTACAGGCATCGTTACATTCTGACCGTTTCAGAAGAGAGCTGGTATGAAAGTTGCTGCTTTAGGAATTTTCATTCAGACAGACTTTATCTTCACAGACAAACTCATTTTTTCAAACATATTAACCAGGCCTGGTAGAAAACTTCCCAAAAAACTAATATGATGGAAGTTGACTTTAAAAGATAAAGTGACTGGTCTTAAATCGCACTGTACTGAAATATGATTTGAAGGCCACAATGAAAACCAGCTGGAAGCCATGTGCAAAATATAATAGTACATGCCTACAGGGAAGGAAGTGAGATATTGAATGATTAAGTTTAGGAGAGTATATAACGTAGTGTATCATTACGGGAGTGATCAGGATTACTTGTAATAAGCTAAGGGTTTGTGGTCTTTCTAAAATCCAAGGCCAAGAACTATTGGGGGGAAGGGATCACCGTGCCGTTTGACATGTATCCACTCCCCACGGCTCGGGACAATCCCGCACGAGAAAGTTCACGTAGGTGGACAGGGACGGACACAGCGAAGAGAGGTGAGCAAACCCAAACTGAACAAACGTCATGTAATTGCAGTCTGTGCCTGCGCTGTATTTAATTTTGGCTAGATTCACTATTCCACTGATGTTCATTTCCATTTCCACCCACTTCCTAGCTAGAACTAGACACATGAAAAGGGTGAGTCGCTAAGGGGAGCCAGGGAAGATGCGTGAACGGGGGAACACACAGGCGGTCACGTGCACCAGCTGCCAGCGAGGTACAGGTTAACAACGCTTGCTTTGTGAAAAGACACATTTTGTTGCCTGTACAGCTGTTGCAGCTGATTAGAAACAGGAACAGCATTTCGACATGAAAACCCCAAACTCTTCTGTTTCGCAGTGTGGGTCAGTCGTACCCCACACTT